CTCTCTCTCTCTCTCTCTCTGCATTTATCTTTCTCTTTCTCTTTCTCTCTGTCTCTCTCTCTCTCTTTCTCTTTCTCTCTTTCTCTCTGTCTTTCTGTCTCTCTCTCTCTCTCTCTCTCTCTCTCTCTCTGCCTTTATCTTTCTCTCTCTCTCTCTAACTAACTTTTCAACCCTTCCTACAATACTTAACCTGATTAAATGCAGTTCGATCGATTTTTCTATACCACCAAATCAAATCTAATTTCAAATCGTATTATAGAAATTTAACAAATATTGATATATTCAATTAAATTGCCTTAGGTGTTATTATTCGATCGCACTATTCTTCTCTTTTCTTTTCTTTTCTTTTCTTATTCCACTTTCTCCATTCGCCCCATCCCCGCCCACCCTTTTTTATTTTCATTTACTTTTTCTTTCTTCTCCATCCTCCTACCCGTTCCACACCACTCCCAACATTCGCTATCATAATCACGGGCTACCTATCTAAATCCCTCGTCTCCATTTTCTATCCACGTCGAAATTTTTAAAATCCTTCTAATGGACGTACCGTGCATCTTTAATATCATTTCAATACAAAATATATATCCCCAATGTGTTTATTAAAATTTGCATTTTATATAATATGCTATGCGTTAGAAAAAAAAAAAAAAAAAAGAAAAAAGGAAAGAATAAAAAAGAAGAAAAAAAAGAGGGAAAGAGATAGAGAAGGAAGTATAGGAAAAATAATAATAATAATAATAATAATAATAATAATAATAATAATAATAATAATGATCACCAAAAAAAAAAAAAAAGTAAAAAGGAAAGAAACGAGAGAAACAAATAATAAAAAAAGAAAAAAAAAGAAAAAAAAAAGAAAAAAGAAAAAGAAAAATAAGAAGAAAGAAGATAATGGAGAAACACGACGAGAAAGAATTTTCTCAATCGTAAATCACAAAGCTGAAAAGAAAAAAATCTTGGGCCATATACGCGATTACTTCGAGATAATCCTTGAACTTTTATTTTGTTGTTGTTTATTTTTTTTTTTTTTTTTTTTTTTTTTTTCTTATTATTTATATCTGCTCCTTCACCACCCTTCTCTCTCTCTCTCTCTCTCTCTCTCTCACTATTTATCCATCTATCTCTATCTTTTTCTATATATATATATATATATTTCTCTCTCTCTCTCTTTCTTGTCTTCCATATCGTTCTCTCTTTTTCCGCCTCTTTTACGAAGATATTAGTAGTGAAGGAGGAGAAGGAGGAGGTGATGGAGAAGGTGGAGGTGGAGGAGGAAGAGGAAAAAGAGATGGAATATGCGTACGGTCACACGTATAAACCTACACGATCGTAAACATATCAGTAGAGGAAGTATGTGGCGGTACGCTTCGACGTATACATTTACACACACACATATTTTATTATATGTTGTATTATGTATATATATATTACACACACACACATTATTTTACACACACATATATATATATATATATATGTGTATATGTAAAAAGCGTCCACGTACGAGATTCTCCGGAGGGGTCTGTCACGCGTACAAATAGCTGACCTCGCTTCGTCGCTTCTATCAATGGCTCGCCGGTGTTATTTTTTTTTTTTCTCTCTTCCTTTTTTCCCGTTCTTTCTTTTTTCTTTTTCTTTTTTTTTTTTTCTTTTTTTTTCTTCTTTTTTCTAATTGTACTTCTCACTTCTACATCCTCTTCCTATTTACCAGATCCCGTTGTAAAATAATCCTAACGCTTTTACGACTTATACGAATATTTCTTTTTCCCTTTTTTCTTCTTCCTCTTTTTTTTTCTTTTTTTCTTTTCTTTTTTTTTTTCGACTATATCCCTTGATAAAGTGATATCTGTAAATAACTCCTTTAAAAAAATTTCCATTGATTTTTATCCGATCAAGAAGAATACATAAAGTTTCTTAGTTTTATTTTTTTTTCCTTTTGTGTTTGTGATAAATATAAAAGAGAGAGAGAGAGAGAGAGAGAGAAAAAAAGAGAAATTGTTAAACAAGAGCACGTACACTCTGTACTCTCGTAAATGTTTCCATAATGTTTTCATTCCAACACACATCGTGTTGTTTGTTAGCGTTAAATAGCGTACGACTTTATCGTTAGTTCGATCCGCCTCCGTTGACTCCCTTTTCCTTTTTTCTTTTTTTCTTTTTTTCTTTCTTTCTTTCTTTCTTTGACATCGCTACGCTTTATCGCCGCTCGCTCGTAGAACGAACACGTTTGCTCAATAAACTTGAAGTTTTACGTAACGGTCCCCGTGCACAATACTGTCCCGTTTCCATCTGGTAACGAGAAAGAGAAAACGAACGGCTAAACCATTTCAATTTCGTCCTTATTCCTCGCTGAAGATAACATTTTTTACCGACCGATATGGATAAGTTAGAACACTGTTTTTTTTCAATACCCACCGATGATAAGTTAGAACACCATGTTATCGACCATAGAGAAAAGGATAAAAAGGAAACTGTTCGATACATTACCGACGACGGTCGGTAAAATCGACATCGAGTAAACAAGAGAGAGAAAAAAAGCGCGAGAGAATATCAGTCGGTAAATTATCGTACGAGTAAAAACAAACCAAATCGATAAAGAAGAAACCTTTAAATTTTCTTTTTCAAAAAACAAAAAAAAAATAAAATCGACACTGCGACGAAACAAAATTTTTATACATATTTTCATACGACGATCAATGTCTGCTGATGTACCGATTCGTAAAACATTTGCATTAGTCATATATATATATATTTATATATATGTATGTATATGTATATATATATATATATACATACATACTATTCGAACTGATGACTATATATTTTCGAATCGTTAACATTTATGGATCTTCCAACGGGAGTCGAAAACTCATCGATTTGCTGGCATTAATTAGATAAAAGAAAGGGGGTTTAGTAGGGTGAAGGAATGGGAAGGGATCACTTCTTAGAAGGATACGATATGAGATATCTCTCGTGGATGTCTCTGGTTGTAATAAGACTTTCAACATCATACATGATACAAGGTTGAAATACAGTGAACGTCGTTCAAGTCTACAGGAGTCCTAACGAAATAGGACTTTGATTCTTAACGTTGTTTTTGATCTAATCAAAAGAGAAAGAGAGAAAGAAAGAAAGATCGACAGACAGACAGACAGACAGACAGACAGACAGACGTTCCTCGTCATCGTCATCGAGTCTCGATGCTTTCTGGAAGGAAGTCGAAGATTCCTCAGTTCTCCCTGCCTCTTGCCCCCTCCCCCACCACCACACTTCACCCTCATCCTCTTTCACCACCCCCACCCATTTTCTTTTAAAGTCTTCTCTTCATCTTTTTTATTCGATGTTCGGAGAATCGCTGTAGGGGTCGTAAGGTCGAGCGGTATCTTTATCATGGCTCCGCATAACTGCCGTTGGTGTTATCAGAACTGGTCCCCGATAACGCACGTGCAAAATAATATATGTCGACGGACGGACCCTCACATCCACGCGCACACCCATACTAACACGGTTGAGTACTTTTGCTTACAGTGAATCAAATAAATATATATATGTATATATATATATATATATATATATATGTTTGTATGTGAGTGTCAGGAGGGATTGTGAAGGATGTGAAGGGGAGAGGTAAAAAAAAAGAACAAGTTTTAACAAAATTTTATGAGCGAAAAAAGTAAGTTATACGATCGTTCTTCGTATATTTGGTTTAATAATAATCGATGATTAATATTACTCCCTCTCCCTTTCTCTCTCTCTCTCTCTCTCTCTCTCTCTCTCTCTCTCTCTCTCTCTCTTTGAATAGTTTAGAAAAAGTGAGATAGTTAAAAAAGAAAAGAAAGAAAAAATTTTGTTTAGATAAAAGATTAAGAATTCGATCCTCCTCGTGGTGGACGATGACGATGCTTGATCGAGACGTCATCGTCGTCGTCGTCGTCGTCGTCGTCGTAGTCGTCGTAGTCGTCGTAGTCGTCGGGTCTTAGAGAAGGGGATCGGCATCGAGAATGTCGAAGAGAAAAAAGTTTGAAACACGAGACGAGTTCTGAAGGAGCGGCCAGAAGCGTTCATCCCGCAGGATTTACCCTCTCGAGATTTACTCTCTCTTTCCGTCTCCCTATCTCTCTCTTTCTATATATATATATATATATATCATTCTCACTCTCGGTAGCTCTCAAGATTCGTGATTAGAAAAGTATAGACGTTGCCCTTTGCGAATGCTTGCCCGCGAGTTTCTTATAAAAACTGACGAGGATGGTCGCGCGTGAAATTACATGAAAGAGTTAAACGCCGACATTATTTCTCTCAAAGTGAAATAAGGATTGTAGCCGAAAGAAAGAAAGAGAAAAAAAAAAGGAAAAAAAAAAGAAGAAGAAAAAGAAATTAATAAAGATATTCGAGAGAGGGAGAGAGAGAGAGAGAGAGAGAGAGATGACAAAAAAAAAGAAATATTCGCATGAAATATATTAATGTATGAAAAGAATTATTTACAAATCATTTTAATTTCGTTCGAATGATCGATTGGTAGAAAAAGAAAAAAAAAAGAAAAAAAATTATCAAGATCCATTAATCATGAAAATTAAAATCATTCGTCGATCACCATATGTATGTAATAATAAATACGAGAAAAGACGAATAGTAATGATATCGAAATTGTACAAAAAAAAAAAAAAAAAAAGAAAAAAAAGAAAAAAAGAAAAAAGAAAGGAAATAAATCAACGATAGAAATAAATTAATATATAAATAAATAAATGATATGTGATTCAATAATCGTCGCGTACTCTTTCTCTTTCTTTTTGATTTGTTTATTATTGCAAATCAATTTGTAAATTTGAAAATATAAATTTTATCTAAAACACCTTTCTTCATATTATTCGATTATATTTGATTATATTCATTCATTCGTTCGTTCGTTCATTCATTCGTTCGTTCATTCGTTCATTCGTTCGTTCATTCTTAATTTCATCTTAAATCTAATTTTTTTTTTTCTCTTTTTTTTATTTTAGATATCAGGATTTATATTAGTCGCGTGGATATCTCAGAGATATACTTTTCTTTTTTTGTTTTGTTTCTTTTTTCTTTTTTTCTTTTTTCAATTATTGTTTTGTATAATATATCCTGCTGGCACGATGAAAACCTCCCAAGTAGATCTATCGATCGAAGATCGAGGATCGTTTAAATATCACTGATCATCGTTCCAAGCATTCCTCGTGCCGCGCGCTCTCTCTCAGAACGTTCTGCTACGCCTCTTCGTATGGTGGTGTCCAGTCTGTCGGACGATAATACCGCGCGCCGTCACCTTGACGAGACTGAAGTAAAAAAAAAAAAAAAAAAGAAAAAAAAAAAAGAGAAAAAAAAGAAAAAAGGAAGAAAAAGAGGAGAAAAAATTGAAAAAGAAAAAAAGGGTAAAAGAAGAAGAAGAACGGGAGAAGAAGAAGAAGATGAAGAAGAAGTAGGAGAAGAAAAAAGGGAAGACGAGGAAACGTCAAATGTCGGCTTTTTTTCGGCTGATATTCAACAGAGTTCGCACGTGTTTAATGTGGATAAGGGGGAAAAGAAAAAAAGAAAAAAAGAAAAAAAAAAAAAGGATCGGTAGAACGAAGAGAGCAACTTGAAAATCTTATTTTCTTTTTCTTTTTTTTTTTTCTTCTTCTTCTACTTCTTCTTCTTCATTCTTTTTCTTTTTCCTCTTTCTCTTTACTTTTTGTTTCTTAAATTTTTAATCCTTTTTTTTTTCTTATTTCTATCTCTCTATCTCTATCTATCTCTCTCTCTCTATCTCTCTCTCTCTCTCTCTCTCTTGAATTTTTTTTTCTTCTTACACAATCTTTTCTTTTCCCAAAATATTTAGAAACACAAAGAGACGAGAGATTCGAGATCGAATTCATTAAATTATATATTTCAACGACGATATACGATTAAGGGATAAAAGGGAAAAGAAAGAAAAAAAAATGATTATAGAAAAAAAAAAAATAAATAAAAAGAAATTTTAACAGCGACTGCGAGTTAAAAAAAAAAAAAAAAAAAAAAAAAAAAGAAATAAATAAATAAATAAATAAAAATTTGTCGGATGAAAAAAATCTTGAGTACTCGAAAATGTCATTTCATTTCTTTTCCTTTTTCCTTTTTTTTTTTTTTTTCATCTTTTTCCTTCCTCCCCTTTTTTTCTCTCGTTTCTTTCCCATTTAACAGTTAAATCGTATCTTGTTCCTTTCCTTCGTAGAATATTTTTCGCACGTATTCGTTGAAGTTTATAAAGAAAATTGAAAAGAACGCCGAACCGATTCTCGAAATTAGAAATATTCGACGTCTGGCACACGTCTACTTGTTATTTTAGGATCTTCACAGAAATTCGTCGTCCGATACTTCTAACATACCGAAATAATAATAATAATAATAATAAGATGAAGAAGAAGAAGAAGAAGAAGAAGAAGAAGATGAAAAAGAAGAAGAAGAAGAAAAAAAGAAGAAAAAGAAATTTCTAAGAGTACGAGAAAGAAAGAAAGAGAAAAAAGCTAGAGAGAGAGAGAGAGAGAGAGAGAGAGAGAGAGAGAGAGAGAGAGAAATCTGTTCTAAAAATAAAATAATAAAATAAATAACATAAATGATGTAATTAAATTAAATAAAATAAATAAATAAAATAAATAAAATAAATAATAAAATAGGTCAATTAAGTAACAATAAAATAAAATAAAGAGAAGCGTGATTAAAGATTTATTTAAATTTTCTTTTCTCTTTTCTTTTCTTTTCTTTTCTTTCCTTTTTTTTTTCTTTTCTTCTCTATATCACAGAAAAATCGCAACGTGAGTTAGGTGTAATCGTTTATCGAACAAATCGCGATCGATGGTCGACTGTTATTATTGAAAAAAAAAAAAAAAAAAAAAAAAAAAAAAAGGAAAAAAAATCATTCCAAATCATTGCATATTTGTAAGAATCATCGACGAAGGATCATCGACGAGGATATTTAACTTTGAAAATAATCCAATTTGATGACTACGACGAGGACGACGACGACGACGACGAGGACGATGATGAAGAGGAAGAAGATGACGATCATGATGATGATGATGATGATGATGATGATGATGATGATGATGACCTCATAGATCATTGAGAAGTTGGACGGTCATCTCCTCCTCACCTATCCGGAATTATTAAGACGAAACTGGTTTTCACAATGATTTGACAGATAGATATAATTCTGAGATCATTGTGAAAGCTGATTTTGTTCAATAGTCGACGAAATAATCGAAGACCAAAGAAAATAATCTCCTGAAATCGATCGAAGGAGCCAATAGTATCTACGAAAACGATACCATCGTTCTATCATATTTATGTGAGTATAATTATATTAATATTTTTTAATTCAACGATTAAAATTAATTTTAATTAAACGAATCGAACGAATAATTCGAACGTATTCGTTTTCTTTTTTTTTTTCTACCTTTCTATCTTTCCCCTTCCCTTTCTTTTCGTTCTTTTCATTTTTCTTCTTCTTTTTTTTTTTTTTTTTTTTTTTTTTTATTATTATTATTATTTACACAGTTGAAAGGTCAACAGAAGTAAAATTCTAAATTATCAAAATGAACGCAATGATCGATTGACGCTCGTTAATTATTTATTAATGTAAATTAATATATATATATTATTAATTATCATTGGATGTACGATTTGCAATGATAAAGAATATTTATAAATAAAAATGATTTTGATCGAACGTACATGGGCATATCTGTATATGTCTATATATGTGTATTTATTTGTATATATCTGTGTGTGTGTGTGTGTATGTTAGTGTGATGCACCTTAACCATCGCTCTCTAAATAACTGTCGTATTTGGAAAAAAAATGGCGCTTCGTGTTTTTTTTTTTTTTTCTTTTTTTCTTTTCTTTCTTTTATATTTATATTTTACGTTTCACCATGATCCTTTTAGCAATTAATATCAATCAGGATGAGCGTGAATCCCGTGTAGCTTCCCGTCTAACTTTCGACCCTTCCTCGTCGATCGTTTCCCCGGTGCAATTGTTGACAGATAAATATATTGGTGGTCGCACAAAGGGCTCACTGTTTTCGGCTCCCCACCTCTCCTCATTCCCACCCTTCTTGTCTTTCATCGTAGCACGCGCCATCAAAATGTATATATATATATATATATATATATATATATATATATATATATGTGTATGTGTGTGTGTACGTACGTACGTACGTAAATAAGTGTGTCTCGTAAAAAGATGTACGACCAAATTAATCGATATCCGTATCGATTTAATACTTAATTTATTTATTTATTTATTTATTTATTTATTTATTTATTTATTTATTTATTTTTTTGTTTTCAATTTGAAACTTCTTTCGTTCTCATCGTTCCATCATCTGTAATATTTAATGATTTATTTTGTATAAAATCATTGTAATATTATAATTACATAAATAATATTTCATATCATTTATTATAAATTATTAAATCATAGTACGACACAAACACACACATATACACACACATATATATATATATATATTTTATATATTTAAAGTAATACAGATTATGAAATTAATTATGATTGAAATTAATAATATTTAATTAGAAATAATTTCACTGATCTATGATAATTTTATTATATCAATGTATATTAATTATTAAAATAATATATTAAATAATAAAATATTTCTTATATGATTAAAAAGAAAATATTAAATCATCATAATCATACAAATAAATATTTTTTTTTTATTAATCCTTAAATCATAGTAAACACACATACATATACACACACACATATATATATATATATATATACATGTATATATATAAAATATTTAAAGTAACATAAAGCAGCATCCAAGTTTGGTCCACGAGAACATCAGATAAGAATATTTTCTCAAAGAAACTCGAAGAGAAAGAGAAATGAGAGAGTAAGAGACAGAGAAAAAGAGAGAGATAGAGAGAGAGAGAGAGAGAGAAATACTAACGGGTGCTCGCCAATTAAGCATCTAGAGCGCGAACGAACGATGTACTTTTTTGTTGGAATTTCCGGTAGTGATTTATCAAACGGAAAGATGCTATCTGATGGACGGCTAACGGCAAGAAACGTCTCCTTCTCTCAAGAAGAAGAAGAAGAAGAAGAAGAAGAAGAAGAAGAAGAAGAAGAAGAAGATGAAGAAGAAAAAGAAGAAGAAGAAGAAGAAGAGATTTCTCTTCGTTCGTTTCATATATTTTCAACGAGTAATAGACACACATATATATATATATATATACACATACACATAGACAAATACACACATATCACATAGAAATATATACTATCGCGGACACACACACATACACATAGACAAATACACACACATCACATAGAAATATATACTATCGCGGACACACACACATACACACATACACATACACTTACAATCTCATAATACAGGGAATCGAACGAGAACGTCATCGAGTCGATCTATCTTCGATTAATCGAGCGTCACTTTTTTTTCCCTTATAATCTTTACTATTAATTTACATTCAACGAATACGATTGATATCGAGCGATCATCGGTGGTAGCCAATAGTCTTGTGTATTTTCTTATCTTTTTCTTTTTTTTTTTTTTTTTTTTCTTTCTCTTTTTTGTTTCTTCCTTTTTGTTTTTTTTCTTTTTTTTTTTTTTTTTTTTTTTTTTCTTGTCACCTTTATACACTGCACATGCACATATGCATCTTATACCTTTCACAAGTTTCAACCTTTTTTTTCATTCGATAAATGTCGTTTTTCATTGTCTCTCTTTTTTTCTTCGTCTTTTCGTTTTTTTTTCTTTTTCTCTTTTTTTTTTTTTTTTTTTTGTTTTTTTTTTTTTTTTTTTTTTTGACACTTATAACAATACCATCGATTTTCGTTCGATCCAAAGTAATGTTGTTTTCTTTCTTTTTTTTTTTCTTTTTTTTTCTTTTTTTTTTCTTCGATGACACTTTTCGTAAAACACTTTTTTTAATTTTTCTTTTTTTTTTTTTTTTCTATTCCTCTATAGCCGACAACATTGTATACTATTAATTTTTGATTCATTCGAATATATAGTTTTTTTGCAATGACGTGTCTCGCGTATCATACTTTTTTTTTTCTTCTTTTTTCTTTTTTTTTGTTAACGACATCGATAAATATTATTAATTTTTTATATTCGATCCGAAAATAATCCTTTTTACCGTGACATTATGTATTTCTCTCTCTCTCTTTCTTTCTTTTTTTTTTTTATATTTTTTTTTTTATTACTAAACATTAATAATAACACGTAGTATTAATTTTTATTCAATCGAAAGAAATTCGTTTGCAATGAGATCTCATTTTCACTCTTCCTTCTAATTTATCACGATTAA